CCTTCAGCACTGAGCTCAGAGGATACTTTCTCAGGGGAGACTTCACGTCCCAACTTGCTCAGCGTCCCCACCCCCGTTGCCTATATTCTGCTCTCTTTTACACTTTAATTTTTAAGCATTTATTCTAAAATCAATTAGCTATTTTATCTTCAACTTCAAATGAAAACTCCGAGAAGACAGGGAACACACATCTTTGGTTTCCTTTTATACCTTGAGCATCTGCAAGAGAGGATGGACAGTATTTTAGGTGAGGCAGTTAACACGAGTGAAAACTAAGTGGTGACTCGTATGTGAAAAATAGATAAACATGTTTATACTATGCAGCACAGGGAAATATATTCCATACCTTGTAGTAGCTCATGGTGAAAAAGAATAAGAAAATGAATATATGTGTGTTCATATGTGACGGAGGAATTGTGCTGTACGCCAGAAATTGACACAACATTGTAAACTGTACCTCAATAAAAAACAAGAAAAAGCTCAGAGGCATAGATATACTAGGCACTGGGGGTGTAATGAATATGCAAGTCAGAAAGATTTGGTGTGGAGAAGCATGAACAATAAGAAGGAAGAGGTATGGAAAACTTCTAATGTTGGGCTTAATAAATGTAGAACATTTTTTCCCCTGAGTTTCCACTGGAAAGTGCCCGCCTTTCTGTGTCTATAAGGGTAGGCAAACCAGATTAAATCTGATTTTTTCTTACTGTCTTCCTTAGTCCGATGGACCTTATAGAAACAGCCTGAGGATCATTTTAATTTGGGTGGGTTTTTTTTCATAAAGCACTGAACCCAGAGCCAGCTGACCTGTGGTCTAGAGCTGGCCCTAACACTAATTTGTTCTTTTCATTGTACTCCTCTTGTCTCCAGTTTATTTGTAAAATGAGAGAGCTGGATGAATGGATCTGTGCTACCCTCCCAACTCTCACATTCCTCCTTAACTAAATCAGAGGAGTTTTGGCTATCTGAGGCCAAACCATATAAGGCTTCTATTTTTAAGAGTTGTAAGAGGAATGTTATCTAAAAAGGCAGTTTTTTATGTGCCTTGCCAAATAAATAATCAGTTGAGTATTACAAGAATAACTGAATCCTTTGATTATTGGGGATTTGGTGTGTCTCAGAGATTTGCATTATTTCAGGCATTTCATATAGATAGGGCAGACTGAGTAATGGATGTCCTAACATCCAGCCAGATCCTAAAGTTACTGTGGTTTTCAATGTACCCCGAGGACAAGCACATTCTTTCCATGAACTGTCTCCAAAAAGTGAAGTCTAGTGTTACTCATCAAAGATTTGATCTTATTAAAGCATTTACTCTGTGTGTATGTGTGTGTGTGTGTGTGTGTTGCTCTACTAAGTGTTTACAGGTTGCCAGAGGTCTGTTTAGTGCGGGGTTTCTCAACCTCTGCATTATTGCTATTTTGGACTGGAAAATTCTTCTTTGTGGGGATGTTGTCCTGGGAACCTCTAGTTCTGCTGAATCGATGCCAATAGCAGCTCTCCATCTGAGTTGTAAAAAAATTTTAAAGATGTCTCAAGGCATTGCTAAATGTCCACTGAGTGACACAAATGGCCCTAGTTGACAGCCACTGATTTTAGTACAAAACAATCCTCTTAACTAGGGTATGCTGAACAGATGGATGCAAACATGACTGCTTGGTTAACCAATTAAATAGTTTAAATCTTGCCAAAAGAAATCTAAATTCCTCATGGACACTTTAAAGTATCTCTCTATTTTGTCTAACTGCTAGATACTCTTGGAAGATTCCGAATGTGGCAATCAGTGACTTCCTCATATAGGCAACAATTCCTGGGAAATCTCAATAAGTTGTCAAAAGGAATATAAAAAAAAAATTAAATAAAACTGAAGTCTGATGATTCACCTTGTAAGTTCTCAATGGTGTCTGTTTACATCCGAGAGTAAATAATTTTCTGAGTCCTGGTCCATTGCACAGTAGTGACAGTAAAAGCAACTCTGCTATTTTTATGTTGGTTTTTTTTTTTTTTCGATATTCTTGTGCATGCCTTCAGGTAGTCTTCTAAGAGATAAGTTTTGGTTTTTTTTAAGACTATTTCTCCATCAACCCTCTCAAGAATGAGAGTTTTTATCTTCAACAATTTTAGGTTATAATAACTCTCATTCTGAAAATTTAGTTTAAAAAAAGGAAACCGTCTCAGATCTTTTGAAAGGAGACAGAGACAGAAACATAGAAGCCTTTTATATAGTTGGTGTATGGATGCTCCTTCTCAAACTAAAGTTACAGGCTATAGAGACTGTAAAATGTGTCAATTTGATGTTCATGTCTCTCTTCCTACTTAAAAAGGTTCACAAGTCCAGCCTGACAATCTTAGTATCTAAGGTCTTGGTGTTTTTAGGCACTCTGGTATCGCACAAGGTAATTTAATGTAAATAGGCCTTCTGAAAGCAAACAGAAACCCAAATAAATATAATAATATTTTGCAAAATGCTTCGCTAATTTTAGAGAAAGTTGCTTTATGCTTGTTTAAAAGGAATATTACCATTCATTACATTTTTTGTCTTTAAATCCAAGTAGACAGTCTCTCCTCAGAAATAGACTTAAAATTTTCAAATAGTTTGCTTTGTTAAAAAAAAAAGCAGTATATCCCATTTTTGCTGCCAGTCAATATGAAGAAAATATGAACTGGAGTTACACTCCCATCTTCAACAATTAAAAATACGGACAAAATATGCAAAAAAGAACAGTTCCGTGGACATTAGGCAATGGAAGGCAGTGATGCCTGAGAGACAAGGAACAAATTGAAATATACGAGTTCCCCGGCATCTCTCTGGGAGACATTCGGGTTGTAGTGCAGGGAAGGACAGGTCAGGAAGAACCCAACAAACTTCACAAGAGATGAAGCTGAGAGTCCGTGCAGACCAAGGAAGCTAGAAGTCAGACACAGATAGCCGACACAGAGGAATTAAGATAAGCATGAGGGCAGAAGGTAATGGTGCAAAGGAGAAGACAGTGAAGCATTGTCTAAAGCACTGAAACAAAACCTATCAAACTAGGACTTCATACCTAGTGAAAGGTATATCACATGAAGTCACGGAAAGACTTTCCAGAAATACAAAACAAAGAGTTTATCACCGGTGT